TGGCGGGCACCTGTAGTCCCAGCTACTTGGGAGGCTGAGGCAAGAGAATCACTTAAGCCCAAGAGTTTGAGGTTGCTGTGAGCTATGACACCACAACACTTTATCGAGGGCGACATAGTGAGACTATGTCTCAAAAAACAAAACAAACAAACAAAAAAGAGGAAAGGGGTACTTTCAGATTAAAAGTGATGATTTATGTGCATTATTCAGTAAAACTCCGCAAGATAGGGAATATGATGGGACTAATGATGAAATGAAAAACAAAATAATTAACTTTATTTATAGTGGAGGAATTTCTCCAAAAAGCACTTTAACCAGGCTGGGTGCGGCAGCTCACATCTGTAATCCTACAGAGTGCTGAGGCAGGTGGATTTCTTCAGCTCAGGAGTTGAAGACCAGCCTGAGCAAGAGCGAGACTTCGGGTCTACTAAAAATAGAAAAAGCAGCCATTGTGGTGGGCACCAACAGTCACAGATGCTCAGGAGGCTGAGGAAAGAGAATTGCTTGAGCCTAAGAATTTAAAGTTGCTGTGAGCTATGACACCATAGCACTCTACCCAGGGTAACAGAGTGAGACTCAGTCTCAAAAAAAAAAAACCCACAAAACAAAAATAAAAACAAGTCAGGCATGGTGGCTCATGCCTGTAATCCTAGCACCCTGGGAGGCCCAGGCAGGTGGATTGCTTGAGCTCACGAGTTCAAGACCAGCCTGAGCAAAAGTGAGACCCTGTCTCTACTAAAAACAGAAAAAACTGAGGCAAGAGGATCACATGAGCCCGAATTGGAGGGTGCTGTGAGCTGTGATGCCATGGCAGTCTATCCAGGGCAACAGCTTGAATAAACTTGAGGAGAAATTGGTGTGAGGTGCTGATACACAAACTTCTAGGCGTAAAAGTAGGATACAGCCCCTGACCTAGGAGACTCTTACCTGAGAGCTAGCCATTTCTTCCTCTTCTTCCTGCTTCTCTAGGAAGCAGACAAATCTTCCAGACAAATCACAGCTGATACTTGAGAATATGCATTCCAAGGCATCAGCACAACCCTTTCATCTTCTACCACCACACTCACAGGCAGAAGAACCATGAAGTGGAGAAGCAGCCACACTCATCTGTACCTTGTCACAAGAGATTAAGGCACAATGAGCTTCTACATGAAGAAGAAAATGTGACTTTTCTCTTTTCCTGC